AGTAATTCAAGTCCGGTGCAAAAACGCATGATCGTACGGGCCCGCCCGGTGCGTTCCAGCCTGGGTTCTTCTCGTTGAAGCACTGCAATCGTCATACTGCCAAGATTCTGTTGCAGCGTTGAGTTAAGGCGTATATGATTTAAAGGACCGAAAAGTCCTATCTCGCTGTTTCATTTTGTTCTTGTCTCTGATTAGTTTCTAGTTTCTACCTCCCAAGCGCATTTATTTGCCTACTCACTCAACATTGATTGTTCAACCTATCTGATCGTTCATTCTTGTGTCAATTTTAGAATCGGCGACCTGGAGAGGATGTTGGATGAAGAGAAATGTAGATCACATTTATTAGCGAACCTCAACGAGGTATTAGACACCAAACCTGACCAAATTCCGCTTGGCCAGCAAGCTGCACTGGTGAGTGACCTAATTATTCACTCTTTGAATGAGAAAAGCCAACCATTAGCTATTTTTATTTATTATTAAATTGTCTCTAAAACTGCTTGAGAAGGTAAAATCCAGTGGGCAGGGCATATTGCTCGTCTTGCTTACAACTAGTTGCGCATTAGTGAGTGGTACCCACGAGAAAGTGAACAACCATTCGGGCTGCCTAGGATCATAATTTTCTGAGTGATGCTCCCGGCATATGGATGCATTTCAGTAATATCATATTGTACCCAAGCGTTTCTCATATTCTTGTTATGAAGCTTTTTTTGGGTCATTTGCTGCGTATATTTTTGCTTATTTTGACATTTGTACATCGGGCTATCCCATCGTGCGAGTTTGCATTCAGTTTTTGGTAGGTCCGGAGTGCGTTTTCGTTGAAAAGGTACTCAGCAACGAGGAAGCAATTGCAAAATACTCTTTTAAATGCATTCATTCTGGTAGGAATTCGAAAAATTTGTTTTTGACGAGGGAGTCGAGATGGATACAAAGAATTGCACTTTTTCATGATACTGTACTCTTAACAGTTTGATAATCTGTTGTTTCATCATCGTTTTTTATGAGTTTTTGCATATATGCAAATTGTAAAAACGCATATTGGGAAGAGGCTGAATGCGTATGTGTGTGTTTGTCTGTGTGTGTCCGTGTGTTCGCACTTTTTTTCACCCACTTTCAACTCGAGAACCAGAAAAGCAAGAAGGCTGAAACTTTGGGGGTAAGCGCCTGTACCATGCGCGACCCTTCCTTTTTAATTTCATCCCATGTGGACGCTTGTGTGCCGCGTACGGGCGCTTTAAAAAAGTATGCAAATTTTTTGGAGGGAAAGCGATCTAGGGAAGCAGACAAGGTAAGGGGCTGAAACCTTGTAGGGATATTCCCTATGCATGTGCTACTTCCAGAACCTCAAACTCAGCCCCCAGCTATGCGTGGTACTCAGGTGAGGAATTATGAAATGCGGGAAAATTGCTAATTCATGAACCAGAACAGCTAGAAAGCTGAAATTTTAGAGTAATGTTCCCTGTCCAAGGCACAATTTACGGATTTTAAATTCGGCCTTGAGGTATGCGTGGTTCTTAAGTATGGTACTTAAAATTTTGGCTGAATTTTTGATTGGACAACTAGTGATCCTTAAATGGAAATTGTATTTTTACTTTATGCAAAATTTATGGTGATTTATATTAGTGACCGCAAAAGATAGGTGTAAAGCAACAACCATTCATGCAGTTAATGACCTGAGCACTTCAAATCCGGTGCAAAAACATATGATCGCAGGGGCCCGCCCGGTGCGTTCCAGCGTGGGTCTTCTCATGCACTGATGCAGCTGGTGACTTCTCCATTCTTTTCTTTTTTTAGCTTCCATTATCCATATAGCGTCAGAGCATTTTTTCATGATAATGCAACAAAATTTTGCTCTTAGGTTCCCTGAAATTAAAAAAAAAAATGCAAACAAATAATAGAAGCAATGAATGAGATTACATCACTTTTAAGGAAGTCAAAGCATTACCCGAGCTGAATGAGGAATTACGTACAAAGCAGCGAGAAATTGACGATTTAATCACCAGAGCAAAAGATGCCGAATGGAGCCTAGGAGAACACAAACAGTGGCTAACTGATGCCAACAACAGGTTTCATTATTCGTGTGCTGCTTAGTGCTAATAAGATGTGATATTGTCAAACCTCATAGGGTGTAAACGACTTTTACTGTAAGTGTTGCATACTGCAGGGCGAACCATTTGGATCAATTATGTCACGAGAAGGATCTTGCCATAGAAGATTTAACGAACAAGCTGCGTGATGCTGAACATCAACTTCTTGAAATTCATGCGCCAGACAATATTGAGTAGATTTTTTTTCCATGTGTTGTGACAGTCATTATTGATAAGTGATAGTGGTGATAATAGTTGACGAACAACGATGATGACACTGGCTTTGACTGACGTTGAAGAATGACGACAGCGCATGATAATGAGATAACGATATTTAGTACTGAATGATAATGAGATAATGACAGTTGATATTGAAAGATAATGAGATAATAATAGTTGTATTGAGCTGAAAATGATAAGGAGATAATGATGGTTGGTAGCTCACAGCTAATGTGGTAAAAAAGTACGGTGATGAATGATAGCGAAAGTCAGAATTTTCTGGTGATAATGGTAATAACTGAATACAAATGATAATTTTTGATTATAACTAACAATAATAATGAATCATGATTAACGAGAGCAGGTTTGGACAATACGGCTTATGATGATGTGATGATGATGGTTGATGATACCAATGGTGCAAAGTGATGTGTGATAATGATAAATTGATAAGAAGGCTTTACGCAATTGATAAGAAGGCTTTAAAGAGCGCTCAGTGTAATTTGCTCCGATTACTGCGTTTTGACTGCTATGCGGTTGATACTTTGGGAAGAAAAATGAAAGGACAGAAAAAAAAGTGGCGAAGTACACATTAGGCTCCTATGTATTAAATATGACAAGCAGCCGATGTAAATTGCATATAAAAAAGATAGTGTTCTTACGCTTTCATTTTCCATCCCGCGATTTCCTGCTCAGTAGAACCGAAAAAAGAGCTCTAATATTTTTACAGAGTTAAAATAATCTCCACAGTTTTTGTAGAAGAGCGTACGATCTCATCGAATTCTTTCTGAAATTGTCCTAATTTCATGCATGTAAAATTTAGTGAGCTCAATTCAACAATTGCTAATCTGCGCAATGAGTTGACGGGAGCTGAAAAAACAGTGCAGGAGCTGGACAAGGCGAAGAAGGATGCCGAATGGTTCCTTGGTGAGCATAAGGACTGGCTCCAGAATGCTAACAACAGGTGCGCCGACTTCTTAGTTCTGAATTATTTTAACTGTTTGAAGATAATTATCACCACTTCTATGACAGCTGCAAGATAAGAAACAGAGGGCCTGACGTTCAGCTGATGAGTTCAACCTCTGGCAGTATTTATTAGTTGCCAATAAGATTGGGGTTTTTATCTTTGAAGGCAAACACAAAATGACTTCGAGTTTTCTTAAAACTGACGATCTTTACGTTATCAATCCTGTACTGAAAGAAAGAGATTTGTGTGGTTTTGCACTCAGAGGATTCACTCGAAATAGTTGTGGCAGTGTTAATGTCAGTGGTGTTTCTCGCGTTCAGGTGCTCTTCAAGCAACCCCCCAAAGAAAGGAGGATCACCTTCAGCACTGCTAATCTGTGGATTATACTGATGAAACTTCTATTATTCGTACCAGATACGAAAGCGGCCCCTTTTCTGAATGGTTTGCGTTTTAGTCCTTTTAATGTCAAAGTATCTTTTCTCGTAACTACAAAAAGTGTTTCGAATATGCGATAACAGGCCCGTCCAATAGGTTTTTGTTCTTGCAGGATCAAAGATCTGGAAGAAGCTTGCATCCAAAAAGACGCCATCCACAACGATACTGTGCGTACTCTAAATGAGAAGATTGCAGAGCTTCAAAGGAGGTGAAATGTTTTACTTTTCTCAGAAAATCAACTGATGCAACAAAAGTACAGTATGAGGGGATCTAGAATATTGCTTCTAAAGCCACAAGACAACATAACTGATGAAAGTCATTTTATGAAGGTAGTCTAGTGAAACGGCCACCATTCAGTGTTAAATTAATCTCATCCAGGAGCTAATCCATATTTGCCCACATCTCTG